TGCCAAGTTTATAGCGCAATCAGTTCAAGAGTTAAACACAAGTTAGTCTCCAGTATATAATATCAGTCATATAACCACTTTTATACATTATGCAAAAGATGGGTTGTTGCCAAATAATTTTACTTATAGCTATAGATTCCTTTCAATAACATCAGGGAGTTGCTATCACTTGATTTGATGTATGGTTATGATAACAATATGATTTAGTGGGTTGTCATATCAGCTGAACTAAGATGATTTGAAATACTTTGACAACTATAATAGCGTTATTTCATTCCTTGCCAAAATAGACAATTTCTTTTAAAAATCTAAAACAACAAAATCTGAAATCTAAATCAATAAAAAGACAGTTATATGAGGGAACTACTTCTCCCCTACATAAAGAGGTGCAAGCAGTACATTGTACATCAATATACATTGTACAGCGATATACATTGATAAAATACAAAGAAGAATCTGGATTATTATTGGTCCTGACCAGACATCTTATCTTCAGTTCCTTCCCGCTATTATAATGTGACATCTCTGTGCATTTTCTATAAATAATTAAAGACTTTATGAATTTAAGGACATTACTAGATTGGTGGCAAGGTTATTTTACAGTTGAAATGGCTAGATCTAAAATGAATTGGAAAGATTATATCAAATCAAATTGCTAGGTTTGCTGTTAGGAAATGTTGTGCTAGACAATTTTTCTCACCAGAATCTATCTTATATATTTATAAGTTTACCATTCATCCTTACTTTGAATATTGCTGCCACATCTGGTCTGGTGCTCCTGCTATATATTTAGAGATTCTAGATAAAATCCAAAGAAGACTCTGCAATGTTATTGGCCCCAACCTGGCATCTTAACTTCAGTCACTTTCCTATCACCATAACGTAGCTTATCTGTGCATTTTCTATAAATACTTTTGAGATAATTTTTCTGATTAAGTTTCCTCTATGGTACCTAGACTTTATGAATTTTAGTGCAGTGCAGTGGCAGCTAGGTCTCATCCTTTTTCTGTTTGAATGGCTAGATGTAACTGTAAGTTCTCAGACTTCTCCCTTGGTGGAACCCTCTCCTGGCTTCTTGCTTCCCAGTCAACTTTGATCTTCGAAAAGTTAAATGCGATCTCAGTCGTTACCTTCTGTCTTCTTAATTCCTGTTCTTTTATTGTTCTCTCTCCTTAATATCGTTTTTTTTTCTCATATTCTCTCATAATTCTGTTGGTTGGAGGCTCTTGGCTGGTGGGAGAGTGGCAGAAGATGTTTACAGACACTACTACATGATCAGAGCTGCCAAGAGAGCACAGCTGCAGAGTATGACAAGAATCAAGGATAGAGGTAAAAAGAGATCAAGAAGAGAAGTGTGTCTGCCAAGGTTACTGGGGAAATATGTAGGGAAGTCAACCCCTTGCATGAGAGATTGAGCGATTGAGAAGTTAAGGGTTTGGATGCCAGTGAGATCAGTGACAGAGTGTTTATGCTCTTGGGTATTAGTGGCTTTATTGCCTTATCTGGGGTGAAATGATAAAAAAAAAAAACATCCCATTTTAAATGTACTTATATAATTGATATTTTACTTATCTCCTCTGTCATCATTGTCATTTAAGAGACCTCTTTATTTATTTTTAATTCTTCCTCAAATAGAAATGTTTCCCATGTCAGTTCCAATGTCAAGAGACATTCCACAAGAATTGCGCTGGTGGGAAGAGACATTAGCAAAGAGAAAGGTAAGTTCAATTGATTAGTTACTATAATATTAATCTCTCTGCAGAATTGTGTTTTTTTATGAATTTGTTTCCTAAAATAGAGGAAATTTATCCAAAATCTTCTCAGCTTAGATAGGGGATGTTCATTACATATGGGATAGAGAGGAGTGGATACTTTGAAATGGTCAGCTCTTAGGGAAGGCTTGTGTTTGAGTATCCTAAAATTGTTTAAGAGTGACATTTATTTTTTCATGAATGTAGTTACACACGTAGAACCATATCGATGACTAGATGAGATTATTTCTAGTTTTATTCTTATAATCCTTTCTAAGTTCTTGGTATGATGATAAACTACATCTGGCAGCAAGACCTCCAATCAGGAGATTGGAGGTTTTGAAGAGTGTGGAACAACCTCTTAAATGATATTGTTCCCAGATCCACTCTGACCCGGGGTGGTAGCAACTGTTAGGGTCACAGAGAATCCCCAAACAAAAACACTATGAAAGTATAAAAATACATTTTAATAGTAAAAATACCAGCAATACTTTTTTATATAAAAAAGACCAACAATGCATATAGCAAAATGACTAACAATACATTTTATTTGAAGTTGATGGCATACAATTGCATTCAAAATATATTTATTTGAATCATAAAATTGTGTTCAAAATATTTAGATTTCGGCATTAAATGACTCATAGAGGTGTTGATATGCTGCTAAACAAAATCAACCAAACAAACAACATGAATGACCTTTCATGACATTACTCCATATAATATTCTACAATTTCTTAAAGAAATTAAACTGTGTTCCATTGATATAACTTGAACAAAACTACAACATAAAACACATATCACAACTTCTGTGTATATGAACAAAAGCTGAGTATCATCTACCATGTATTCAATTGTGAAAGCAGAATAACATATATCATAAAACACACATATATCACCATCTCTAGTAATCATTTCTATATAAACATATGAACAAAAGCTGAGTATCATCTACCATGTATTCAATTGTGTAAGCAGAATAACATATATTTTTATTACTTCAAAGCTCCTGAGAAAATTAAACGGCATTAAATGACCCATAAGGAGTTGATATGCTGTTAAACAAATCAACCAAAATAATCCTTTCTAACCTCTTCCTATCAGAAAAATCAACAAATGAGTTATAATCCTTACTAATCAAATCTATGATCGGATCAAGAAAATAATTCTTTCAGTTTTATAAAACTGTTTTGCTTCTTATTTTGTCTTGCTTGATTTCAATTCGAATAATTTTCTATTTATTTAGAAATATTACTCCCCACCTGTTCTGCATCTGCTTTTCCTTCCGTCTGTGTCTATCTTTTTTAAACAGGACAGTCGAGATATATACATGATTTATTCTACATATAATCAATAAAATCAAATACCTTCCTTTCCTATAGATCATTTTACTTATCAAGTTTTTTTTTCTTGTAATCAGTTTAGAAGCAAGCTTTGGCTGTCATCTTGGGAAATATTCGCCAGCCATAACACCATAAGGTAACAAAAATAGTTTTACACATAAGCAGCAGAATTCACATGTAGACTATAATAAGTACTAATGGGTTGGAGTTAAAGTCAGGTGCAAAATATTCTTGATTCTTTGGACTGTTATCATTTTTGTTATTTTTATAAGGTTTCAAAGAGGACTTTCAGCTTCGTCAGATAAAAGTTTGTGGAATTTATCTATATTTTCTATATCAATTTTATGTATATTTATATATATTTTCTAACTTGCTAAGTTCACTGTATGGTTTCATTTTGACTGCTGATCGCCATATTTTATTAATTTTCATTAAAATAATATGTGATGCAGAAAACTAAATAACCCTTTCTAAGCCATGTCACATGTTTAGAAAATCAACAAACAACTAAATGCTAGCTGAAAATTCCTTCTGAAACAAAAAATAAGATAGAAAATGAATCTGCTAAAACATCATAAAAAAATTAAGATAATGAACACGATCTCAAATGTGATTGAATATTAGCAACAGCTCATCTAAACAAAAATCTGATACACAATTTTATGAAATGTCTATTTCAGCATCAGTCAGTTATGCGCCATGTGTACATATGTGATCCCATATCTTTCGATACATGACTAACGAGGCAGATTTTTTCTGCAGTGAGTTGCTAGTTCTTTCTGAGGTAGAACAATTGCCATCCAAGGCCAGGTCTGTCCTGCTATTTACCCATAGCTGGGGACAGGATCTGTTTTTACCTCTATCCTTGATTCTTGTCATAGTCTGCAGCTGTGCTCTCTTGGCAACTCTGATCGTGCAGTAGTATAGTAGTTCGGAGTTAAAGTCAGGTGCAAAATATTCTTGATTCTTTGGACTGTTGTCGTTTTTGTTATTTTTAGCAGAAAATTGGAGGTCTTGAAGAGAACAAAAGCTGAGTATCATCTACCATGTATTCAATTGTGAAAGCAGAATAACATATATCATAAAACGTACATATATCACCGTCTCTAGTAATCATTTCCATATAAACATATGAACAAATGAATATGTTTATATTTTTGTTATCATTTTTGTTATTTTTATAACTGTTTATATTTTTGATATTTTTTTTTTGATTAATACCTTTCGTAAGGGTATTAGCATGTAAGTGAATATAATAGATTCAACTGGAATTTGAACTTGGCTCTTCAATTTCTCAATTTGAGCCGCTATCCATTCAACTCCACTGTGCCTCCTATTTTAGCATACAAGACAATATTGATTGATTGACTTGTTTCACTTGAGGTTATCAATTCTTTGCAGGTTATTTAAAGCCAGAAAATATTTTTAGACAGTAGTTGTGAGGAGAAGAGGTGAATTCATACCTAATCAGAATTTGATAAACAAGCAGGAAAAGTTAATGTGGATGTAAAGTGGGAGTTCAATTCTATATTACTATCAATATATAACTGATCTGTCACTTTGTGTCCAAGGTAGTTAATGTATATTTATATTACAGAGAATGTAAATAAATGTAAAATACATGCCTCTGTAGCTGATCACTTTTTCATTGATTGTTTCATTTTGACGATTTATTAATCCTTTGTGGGTTATTTAAAGCCAGAAAATATTTTTAGATTGTAAGAATGTTTTTTTTTATTTTTTGAGATAATAATGGTTTAGTGATGCAATTCTTACTAATTAACCCATATCTGGAGGGTGAAAATGTGGATTCATACCTATAACAACCTAACTGGAATTGGAACTGGAGTCTCCCATTAACAATTCTGAGGAGCCATTATCGAATATACTAGCTTCACATCCAAGTTTACAGCATCTGATACCCCCAAGCGGTCACCCATCCAGGAAATGATCAGGGTCAACATTGCTTAATTTCGGTGATCATAATGGGAACCAGTGTTTCAATGTGATGTAGATATAAGACTTACAAAAAAATATAACATATTTGTAACTGATAATGTATTTTATACATATATATATATATATATATATATATATATATATATATATATATATATATATATGATAATGTATATTATATATATATATATATATATATATATATATAAAGAAATATAGTCTTAAGGTATGCTGTATTTATGGGATAAAGTGCTCAATATCAGAGATAGAGCGTGTGTAAATATAAAAGTGAACATAGATAGCTATCATTACTTTCCCTGACCAAAATAAATTATTAAATAAAAGATCCGAGCTCATCACAAAATGCAGGCATGAAAATAAATTTTTACTACGTAACCTAAAAAAAGAAAAACAGAAACAATAAAATAAAAACAAACAAATACACTAATAAAAAATAAATAAAATAAAATAAATAAATAAATACTATGTTGCTTAAAAACCGAAAACCGAAAAGAGAAAATATACAAATAAATTGACCTAAATTCATCCAAGTAAATAAATAGACAAACCAATCCCAAATTAAAAACTGTTCCCGCCAAAAAATAATAGTTAGAATGAACTACAACAACCAACCCCAAAATTGAACAAATAGCTTTAATTAAATTCTCAAACCAAAACAAAACTGTTAAATACGTGATATAAACAAATTTTTACTACGTTAATAAATAAATAAATAAAATAAGAAACAAAAAAAATAAAAACGAGCAATATAATTTGACCCAAATAAATAAACAAAGCGACTTCCGGTAAAAATAACCGCCATAATAGAATACCCACAATGCACCACTAACCCGTATATATATAAATAGCCGAGAAAAATAACAGCATATGTGGCCTGACGATTGCATATAGCATGAAACAGACTGTTGCCTCTAAGTGTTGACTTCTATGTTCACTTTTATATATATATATATATATATATATATATATATATATATATATATATAACTGGTAATGTACATAAAACAAATAAGTATGCTATAAGAACAGTACTTGATGTGAAATATATATGAGTGCATGTATGTGTGTGTATCTATATATATTTGTATATATGTATATATATACAAATGTATTGAACCTGTATCCTATATGGAACCATCATTTAACCTGACGTGCCTTAACCGATCAAGCCATGGAGGATCGTTCGCTTAGCAAGGTCAATTTTACTGTTTTTAAACTTCAATCTTCCATGAATCTCTCATCTACATTCATATCATCTCAGAGCGTATCCAAATGTAAACAAATGACATCACACATTATGAAATGGACAAAGTCCAAAATTATTTCAAGAACATTTTTCACATTCTTTTTATAGGAAATTCAGGATATTTATGTTTATACATTCTTTTTATTGGACATTCAGGCCGGTAAATGTTATTAATTAAGTTTATTATAAAACAGAACATTTACTTAAATATTTGTATCTATAAAAAGAATGATTAAACAGGATGATTAAAAACCATGGAACGTCACAAAGGAAAACATAGAATACTTGTTGATAACAATGTTATTCTGTTGGTTGGAGGTTCTTGGCTGGTGGGAGAGTGGCAGGAGATGTTTACAGACACTACTGCATGATCAGAGTTGCCAAGAGAGCACAGCTGCAGAGTATGACAAGAATCAAGGATAGAGGTAAAAAGAGATCAAGAAGAGAAGTGTGTCTGCCAAGGTTACTGGGGAAACATGTAGGGAAGTCAACCCCTTGCATGAGAGATTGAGCAATTGAGAAGTTAAGGGTTTAAATGCCAGTGAGATCAGTGACAGAGTGTTTAAGTCACCTGATCAGAGGTGACATTAAAGTCACAAAACATGAATATGTTTGCAAGTGGGTGTAGGGAGATAGCCTGATCTATATTATTGGAAATACTATCTAGCATGCAACAGTCTTGAAAAGAAGGAAAATGCTAGAGAAAGAAGAGATAGCTGATTGAGTTAAGTAGAGAGATATGGAGACATATGTATGAATGATCTAGAGATTAAAGAGAGAGTTCCCTAGCTAGTGGGAGATGTTTGTAGACATAAACTCCCAGGCCATGCATGTGGACTTTAGAGTCTTTTCTAAGGAGAAGAAGATAGCCAGTAATTGAGAAATCAGAGGAGAGGATTGAAGAGATTAGAAATAAGTATGATGATCCTCTGTTTACACCTTCACAAGGGTTGCTGTGCTACCATTATTAGTGCTTATGCACTAACACATTCCCACTGAAGAGGCAGATAAGTTAGCCTTCTATGAGGAACTGTGTGCCCTTCTTAATTCTGTTCTGGAGATTGACAAAATCTTCATGCTAGGCAATTTTAACATCAGAGTCAGCTGTAACTGGGGGACATAGAGCTGTCTGAGTAGATATAGAGTTGGTAAAATGGATGGAAATAGGCTGCTATGTATGGAATTTAACCTGCATATTGCAAGTACACAGTTCTATCACAAGGGTAACCACACTTCAACCTGCATGCATCCAAGATCTTGACAATCTTAGAGACTACATCATTGTCCAGAAAATGAACATGCAATATGTATGTAATGTAAAATCTTTTAAAGGTGCAAATTGCTGGACCAACCATGGTCTCATGAGATCAAAAATGAGGTTGATAGTCAAAACACCTACTAGAAATAGGAAAATTGCCAAAACATCTTAATGTGGCCAAATTGCACAATCTCATGTTAAAGTCTCTGTTGACTTGCCTTCTTGGCCACTTGCACGAGAGCAAATATTCTCTGCCACAAAAAAGTAATTAGCCTTGTGTCAGCCAAAAGCCGTGATTGGTTTGATGAAGCAAGCAATTACAGGTATACTGGCAGAGAAGAACAAAATATGGGAGAAGCTTCTTCAGAAATACCTTTTAAGTAACAACAATAGATCACCCAACAGTTCAAAGAAGACAAATCACACATTACAACAAATAGAAGCTGAGAGAAATGCAAGCAACCACAAACAGTAATAACAGCAAAGAGGTCTATAATTATTAAGAAGGCATTTGGTCCTAAAATGGCAAGAGTTAGACCACTGAGATCAAAAAAATGGCAATGAACTGCTGACTAGCATGACTAACATCTCTAAACACTGGAAGTAGTATTTCTTGGAATTGCTGAATAGACACAGCTAAATAGATCCAAGGGCCATTGATATTCTATAACAATGAACTGTAGTGGAAGCCATGGATAATCCTCCGTCAATAGAAGGGATCGAATTATCCATTTCTATGTTGAATGTTGGTAAGGCAGCTGGTATGGATGGACTGTTTCTGAAGTGGTTCAAACTATGCATCAAATTATTGTTAACAAATGGCATGAAGGTACAGTCCCAAAGGATTGGGGAGATGGTATTCTAATCCCCATGTATAAGGGAAAGGGTGCAAAGGAATTATTCTGTGGTTTTACTCTGCTGTCTTTGCTGGTGAGATTCTCGTAGGTATTATACTCTTATGATTATATGTGAACACTGTTTTTCCGGAATTCCAATGTAGATTCCAACCTAAAAGAGGGACAATGGATACAGCGTTCACTGCTTGCCAGTTGCAGGATAAGTTGTATGAACAACAACACAGTCTTTTCCAAGTCTTTGTAGATCTGATGAAAACAGAGAGCTCCTCTGGCCAATTCTCTATTGATTTGGTTGTCCAAACCACTTTGTAAATGTTCTTCAGTCCTTTCACAATGAAACAGAAGTCTCAGTTAATGCTGGTGGTCTACTTTCTTAGTCATTTAAGGTGACAACACTGTTCTCAATCTTCTACTCTGTGGTTTTACTTAAAGCACGAAATCCATATTTGATATTGCACTTCTGGTAGCTATCACAAAAACCTTTCAGGAATTGGCTAAGGACATCCGTATGCTGATGATTGTGATTTGGTATCTCATAATGAAGAGGAAATGCAAATGTCGACTATCTCAAACATCTCAAACTTTTGGCCTCACTGTCAGCCTTGATAAAGCTATCATCATCACCGTCAACTGCATACTGACCATTCAATATATATATACAACTTGCAAATAGATGTAGCTGGTTACACATGCTGGTGCTTTGAAAAGCATTTGAAAGTCTCCTACTGGTTTTAAAAGCCACTCTAGGCAGTACCATAAACAGGCAATGTTCCCTCGGTGATGAAATAACAAGTCATGTACAGAAGGCTAGTGTGGCCTTCACTGCTCTGAGAGATTGAATTAGAGAGGATTGAAACTGGCCACCAAGGTATCAGTTTATAATGCATGTGTTCTTACTTGCCTCCTGTACTCTTATAAAACATGCAGAAGACACTAGAGCATCATCTGTGAGCACTGACAGACTAATTCAGCATCATCAGCTTCAAGGGACAGGTCATGTTATACATTTAGAGAATTCTTGAATTCCCAAGTTGATCCTTTATGGTGAGCTAGCCCAAGGAGCATGTCCAAGGCACAAACCTATCAAAAGATTCAAGGACTGTATAAAGAACTCTCTAACTGAGTCTGCCACATGACTGATGATGGGTGGGAGAGAACTGCTTGTGATAGAAACAGTCATCATAGATGTCACCTAGTGCCAACTATGATGAATTCATTCAGCTTGTTGACTTAAGATGTACTGTTTTGGAAGGTATGCCAAAGACAATCCGGAATGACCTGACACATTAAATCAAAGGATCTGCATCAGGAACAGCAACAGCAGCAACTCCAAAACTTGCAAACAGATGCATGTTGGTGCTTTGAAAAGCATTTGCAAGTCTCCTACTGGTTTTAAAAGCCACTGCCGCACACATAACAACAAAGAGTAAAAAATGAAAAGGAGAAGAAGGGAGATAAAAAACACTAGAAAGAAGACATAGGTGGGGGGAGGGGGGATGGTAAGTGATGTTCATGCTCATATGATGAGTTCAACAGCCATCATACACACACACACACACACACACACACACACATATATATATATATATATATATATATAATTCATAAAAGGTTAATAGTCAGAGTTGAATCAGACCAGGAAACAGTAGTATTAAAAAGTGCTC